ACAAGGAATGTGAAGGACCTCTTCAAGGAGAACTACAAACCACTGCTCAGTGAAATAAAAGAGGACACAAACAAATGGAAGAACATTCAATGCTCATGGATAGGAAGAATAAATATTGTGAAAATGGCCATACTGCCCAAGGCAATTTATAGATTCAATGCCATCCCCATCAAGCTATCAATGACTTTCTTCAGAAAATTGGAAAAAAACTACTTTAAAGTGCATATGGAACCAAAAAAGGGTCCACACTGCCAAGACAATCCTAAGCCAAAAGAACAAAGCTGGAGGCATCACACTACCTTACTTCAAACTATACTACAAGGCTACAGTAACCAAAACAACCTGGCACCAGTACCAAAACAGAGATTATTCACCAATGGAACAGAATAGAGCCCTCAGAAAAAATACCTCATATCTACAACCATCTGATCTTTGACAAACATGACAAAAACAAAAAATGGGGAAAGGATTCCCTATTTAATAAATGGTGCTGGGAAAACTGGCTAGCCATGTATAGAAAGCTGAAAGTTGATCCCTTCCTTACACCTTATACAAAAATTAATTCAAGATGGATTAAAGACTTAAATGTTAGACCTAAAACCATAAAAACCCTAGAAGAAAACCTAGGTAATACCATTCAGGACATAGGCATGGGCAAGGACTTCATGACTAAAACACCAAAAACAATGGCAACAAAAGCCAAAATTGACAAATGGGATCTCATTAAACTAAAGAGCTTCTGCACAGCAAAAGAAACTACCATCAGAGTGAACAGGCAACCTATAGAATGGGAGAAAATTTTTATAATCTACCCATCTGACAAAGGGCTAATATCCAGAATCTACAAAGAATTTAAACAAATTTACAAGAAAAAATCAACCCTATCAAAAAGTGGGTGAAAGATATGAACAGACACTTCGCAAAAGAAGACATTTATGCAGCCAACAGACACATGAAAAAATGCTCATCATCACTGGCCATCAGAGAAATGCAAATCAAAACCACAATGAGATACCATCTCACACCAGTTAGAATGGCAATCATTAAAAAGCCAAGAAACAACAGGTGCTGGAGAGGATGTGGAGAAATAGGAACTGTTTTACACTGTTAGTGAGACTGTAAACTAGTTCAACCATTGTGGAAGACAGTGTGGCAGTTCCCCAAGGATCTAGAACTAGAAATACCATTTGACCCAGCTATCCTATTACTGGGTATATACCCAAAGGATTATAAATAATGCTGCTATAAAGACACATGCACACATATGTTTATTGTGGCACTATTCACAGTAGCAAAGACTTGGAACCAACCCAAATGTCCATCAATGATAGACTGGATTAAGAAAATGTGGCACATATACACTATGGAATACTATGCTCATGGATAGGATGAGTTCATGTCCTTTGTAGGGACATAAAAAAGGATGAGTTCATGTCCTTCGTAGGGACATGAATGAAGATGGAAACTGTCATTCTGAGCAAACTATCGCAAGGACAGAAAACCAAACACTGCATGTTCTCACTCATAGGTGGCAACTGAACAATGAGAATACTTGGACGCAGGGTGGGGAACATCACACACCAGGGCCTGTCATGGGGTGGGGAGAGCAGGGAATGATAGCATTAGGAGATATGCCTAATGTAAATGATGAGTTAACGGGTGCAGTGCACCAACATGGCACATGTATACATATGTAACAAACCTGCATGTTGTACACATGTACCCTAGAACTTAAAGTATAATAAAAAAAATTGCCATCCATTGTAAAAGGACTCATGTTTGCAGTCCATGCTATCATTCCACTGAGAAGGCTGTCAATGGCCTCTCTGGGAAACTGTGGTGCAACAGCCCTGAGGCTTTCCAGAACATGATCCGTGCATCTGTTGGTGCTGCCAAGGCTGATGGCAAGGTCATCTCCGAGCTGAATGGGAAGCTCACTGGCAGGGCCTTCCATGTCCCCACCATGGTGTCAGTGGTGACCTGACCTGCCATCTGGAAAAACCTGCCAAATATGATGATATCAAGAAGGTGGTGAAGCAGGCATCAGAAGGCCCCTTCATAGGCTGCAGGGTTATATGAGGGTTCTGGGGACACTTCTTCTATGATTTTGAAAAATATGGTCCAACATACTACTTTTCTTTAGTGAGCCCCTTTTTTGTGGATCACATTTATTAAAACAGTTAATAATTTCAGAACATTTCTTGCTTTCATTGTTTTGCCTTCAAATATTATAATGCTTGAGGGTAAGGCAATACACACACACGCATGCGCGCACACACACACACACACACACACACACACGGGCCTCCTGGGCTACACTAAGCACCAGGCTGTCTCCTGTGACGTTAACAGTGACACCCACTCTTCTACTTTCAATCCTGGGGCTGGCATTGCTCTCAACTACCACTTTGTCAAGACCATTTCCTGGTATGACAGTGAATTAGGCTGCAGCAACAGGGTGATGGACCTTAAGGCCCACATGGCCTCCAAGTAGTAAGAGCCCTGGACCACCAGCCCCAGTGAGAGGACAAGAGCAAGAGCGAGACCCTCAGCTGCTGGGGAGTCGCGGTGGCAGTCAGTCCCCCACCTCAGTGACAATCTCCCCTCACAATTTGCATGCAGACCCCCTGAAGAGGAGGTGCTTAGGGAGCCCCACTTTGCCATGTGCCATCAATAAAGTCCCCTGTACTAAAAAAAAAAGATTGCCATCAAGTCTAAGTTGATATGTCACTGAGTAAGTACCTAAGAAAGATTATTTTGAGCACATTTCCTAAAGAAATAGCAGCTAATTAATGTATGTTTTAAGTTAAATACATACTGAGCAATGCTTCTGATAAAAAAATTACACAAAAATGCAAATAAAATGTTCAGGATGTATCTTTTAGAGCCTACTTTCCCAACCTCAGCACTACTTGCATTTTGGACTGGATATTTCTTTGTTGGAGGGGGCTGTCCTATGCTTTGTAGAATGCTAAAAGGATCTCTGGGCTTTATGCACTATATACAAGTAATACCCCCATCTCCCCACTTCCCTAGCTTGTGTCAATCAAAAATGTCTCCAGTCATTGCAAAATATCCTGTGGGAAGCAAAAACAGCTCCCAGTTGAGAACCACTGCTTTTAAGTGTTTTCAGTGTAACTAAATATTAACAACAAAGAACTCTACTTCTGAGCAATTATCTTTCAATGTTGTCATTCTGTACTGCAGGTTATCACTGCATGAGAGTGGAAGTGTCGAAAAATTACCGTGTATTTTAAAATGAACTTCCGTGGCCTGTCACAACACTGTAGGCTGCAGGGTTATACGGGAGTTCTGTGGACACTTCTTTTATTATTTTGAAAAATATGGTCCAACATATTCTTTCACCAGAGAATTTGTTTTCCAGGATCAATGAGAATTTCATATACACTTGCTGATTTCTCTTTTTAAACATATTACTTTTCTTTAGTGAGCACCTTTTTTGTGGATCACATTTATTAAAACAGTTGCTAATTTCAGAACATTTCTTGCTTTCATTGTTTTGCCTTCAAATATTATAATGCTTGAGGGTAAGTGAATACACACACACACACACACACACACACCACACTTACATAAAATTTGTCATTCATCATGGAAGGACTCATGTCCATGGTCCATGCCATCACTCCGTAAAGAAGACTGTGAATGGCCCCCCTGCACAACTGTAGTACGACAACCATGGGGCTCTCCAGAACATCGTCCCTGCTTCACCACCCTCTTGATGTCATCATATTTGGCAAGTTTTTCCAGAAAGCAGGTCAGGTCCATGACTGACACATTTGTGGTGGGGACATGGAAGGCCATGCCAGAGAGCTTCCCGTTCAGCTTGGAGATGACCTTCCTGCAACCTTGGCAGCACCAGTAGATGCAGAGGTGATAAATTTCTCTCTCTCTCTCTTTCTCTTGCTTGCTCTCTTGCTCTCTCTCTCTCTCTCTCTCTCTCTCTCTCTCTCTCTCTCTCTCTGTGTGTGTGTGTGTGTGTGCACAGACCATTGGTAGTTTTTGACATTTAAATTCCTTCTTTTCTTTTTCTTTTCTTTTTTTTTTTTTGAGGTGGAGTCTCACTCTGTGGCCCAGGCTGGAGTACAGTGGCATGATCTTGGCTCACTGCAACCTCCATCTCTTGGGTTCAACCAGTTCTCCTGCCTCAGCCTCCTGAGTAGCTGGGATTACAGGTACGCACCACCAAGTCCGGCTAATTTTTGTATTTTTAGTAGAGATGGGGTTTCATCATGTTGGTCAGGCTGGTCTCGAACTCCTGACCTCATGATCTGCCTGTCTCAGCCTCCCAAAGTTCTGGCATTACAGGTGTGAGGCACCGTGCCCAGCCTACATTCTTTATTTTCTTGAACACTGTATTTGTCAAGGATTGCATGGTGCCACCTCACATTATCTTCTTATGTTATAAAAATAACTTGTTTAGTAAAAAAATTACCAACGGTGTGTATATATATATTTACACACACAAAAATATATGTATCACATATATGCAACATGTATGTGTACACACACACACACACACATATGTGAGTTTGGGGCAAAGCAATGGGAGCAATTGCTGTGGATGCAGAACCAGATGAACCCTTCTAAGAGCTTCTTCTTCCTGGAGCATCTCTGTATTCCATGAGGAGAAATAAAAGAAATCCCAGCTTGCCAAGGAAGAAGGGGATATCGATTGCAAGGGGAGGGCCAGAAAGAAGGGTTGGCAAGGGGAACGTACTTAGAACATTTGTTCCCTAGTGCAAGAGGATGAGGGTCAAGGGAAAGCACAGGAACACAAGGATCCCAAGTGCCAGCCTTAGTGTCATAAATGACTCGATAAAACATGATTTGAAATGCTCAGTTGACAAACATATTGTGAGTTTTCTCATCCTCCTTTTGGGGATCCATCCAAAACCCAAGAAGACTCAAACTGAGTGTGACTATTGGCTAATACATAATGGAGTAACAAATGCCTCACCCACTTTCCTTCCCCTTACCTATGTAAGTCACGTCCACGTAAAGTTCATCCGAGAAACTGCTTCCCATCTGGTTAGTGGCATTGACCATCATGATGTATGTCCTCCACATGGAGGTGTACTGCTTGCCAAAGTGGCAGGAGTTGGGCCCACCAGTTATGTAGTCTGGACATTCATGCATGAGTGTCTCTCTGTAATAAGTAATGTATTAGGAATGAATAATAAAGTAATAAAGAGAGTCTAGTTTTTTCTTCATAGATCAATACCACTGGCCTTTGGGTATCAGAAATTTCAAGCACAAAACCCAGAGCTGACAAATGGTTCCTTAGGCTTCCATGTTATTCTCATTTCAGCTGGGAGTGAGAGAGAGAATAGCATGCTGGAAAGGTTATTTTAGGGCCTCAAGAATTCGGCTTCTGATCAGCACTTCCCTTCTATAAGTGTTCTTGTGGGCTCTGGGACCTATATCCCCTGCTGATAAATACTCGAGCTTTCAATGGCCCAGGCACCACCATACCCAGGTCATGCCCATTGGGTGGCCTCAGGAAATTGGAACTTTCACCTGTCTACACACAGAGGAGCCATGCACAATGCATCAGCTATTTCACATTCGTGTTGAATTACATTTCTTTCTTTTTTTTTTGGGGGGGGGGACGGAGTCTGGCTTCTGTCACCCAGGCTGGAGTGTAGCAGCGCTATCTCAGCTCACCTGCAAGCTCGCGCCTCCCGCAGGTGTCACCGCTTCCTCTGCTCAGCGCCGTCCCAACAGGTAGCCGTCCTGGAGACTCACAGGCGCCCGCCACCGCGCCCGGCTAATTTTGTGTATTTTTTTAGTAGAGACGGGGTTTCACCGTGTTAGCCAGGATGGTCTCAATCTCCTGACCTCGTGAGGTGCCCGTCTCAGCCTCCCAAAGTGCTGGGATTACAGGCATGAGCCACCGCGCCCGGCCTACATTTCATTTTTTAAAAAAGGGTTCAAGAGGACAAAAACTGATGTTGGTCCATTTCAGACTGCAACAAGTCAGCAATAAAGTGAAGTGACGTTGAAAGGAGGTATCTCAAGCCCAAGTGGCTCAGTAGGCTGCTCACATTTAGATTCAGGAACCTCAGCACAAGACACACTGCACAGGTGTGGAGGCTTGTTCAGTTCTGGTTGCATTTGAGATCCTGAAATCTGTTTACATGATGTCCGTTTGGATTTCAGCTAGGATGACAGTTTTGTGTACAACAAAGTGCAGTCATTGGAAAGTGGGCCAGCTATCTCTACCAGAAACTAAATATTTTCCTTTTTGAAGAAGAATACAGCTCTCCCAGGATTTCCAGGAGGGTCTCACTGTGAGCGCAACAAAATGCCTGCACACAGATGATCTGGTTTAGCCCTCATTGCAACCTTAGGTCCAAATATGTCCTCTAGGAGATTGTGGCTCTTAGGTCAGAAATGTGCTAAGGAAAAACTCTCGCCTTCTTTTCCCTACAAGGTTCTTTATTTTCTTGAACATGAACCATGTTTGTCAAGGATTACATAGTGCCACCTCACATGATCCTACCTATTTTGGAAAAGTGACATGTCTAGTTAAAAAAAATGCAAATGGCATAAGAATTATAGATGAGCATCTAAGATTAACTACCAATTAAGAAACACTTCTATGGGGCCACAGGCTGCAACCTAAGTTGTGACAGGGGATTTGAAACATTACTGATACTGTACTGCTATGGCTGGTAACCTTATCTATATTGACAGCTCTTAACAGACATTAACAGGAGAATGTCGGCATGGACCTCAGACTCCCCTTTCCCCAGCGGTATGAACCTTACTGGTGTAAATTCAGGGAAGTGCTGTCACTCAGAACCAGAGTTTCTTTGGCCTGGAGAATGGGAGTACTCATGGGGTTTCACAGGAGAGAAGGGAACTTCTTACCCTTCCCTGTGGTAAGTCAGCGAATAATTGGTAGGAAGTCCTCCATCTGTCCCAGGCCTCCACCAGCAGGTGAATGTTTCCTTGTTGGGAGAACGACATTTAAAGATCTCAGGTTTTCCAGGAGGTAACTGTCCTAGAAAAAGCCAGAAACCACTGCATCAATATTGAGGTCCATTTAACCATTTGATCCTTCTGTTGGTGACAGAAACAGATTGATGGCACCCAAGCCAGTGATGAAGCCTCGAGTGAGGAGACCTAGGGTGGATGCTCAGAAATTCCCAGCATCAGCATGCAGCAACACTCCCCTGTGGGCTGCCCTGATGTTGGCAGGGCTCTTAGACAGCTTTGTGCTGGGGTGTGTGTGTCTGTGTGTGTGTGTGTGTGTGTGTGTGTGTGTTTGCGTACTTCGAGAAGGAGATACCAATAGCCTATGTGAGGGCTAGTGACCAACTGCAAAATTTCAACAAAGAGTGAGCCTTAAATGCAAAATAGACACATATGGGTTGAAGAGTGTGTGGTGGCCCTTTTGTAATACCACGAGGTCTGTAAAGCTGATACCCTCCCTCAGTCTAAGGGGACCATACAAAGAATCCTTCCTAGGTATGAGCAACCTGCAGACACTTTGGCGAAACACCACTCTATGGCACTTCTCCACTCTGCTCACCAATCTCCATCTTTCTGCCATCCCCACGCAATGAACTCAACTTGTTCCTGATCTTCTGTCCGTTCACTGCATCTCCGAAGCTCCCCATATCTAGGCGTCCCTTCCTTGAATTTTTTTTTTTTTTTTTTTTTTTGGAGATGGCTCTTGCTCTGTTGCCCAGGCTGGAGTGCAGTGGTATGATCTCGGCTCACTGCAACCTGTGCCTCCCGGGTTCAAGCCATTCTCCTGCCTCAGCCTCCTGAGTAGCTGGGATTACAGGCACACACCACCACACCCAGCTAAGTTTTTGTATTTTTAGTAAAAATGGGGTTTCATCATGTTGGTGAGGCTGGTCTCGAACTCCTGACCTTGTGGTCTGCCCGCCTCGGCCTCCCAAAGTGCTGGGATTACAGGCATGAGCTACTGCGCCTCGCCACTTTTCCTTGATTTTATTCAGCTTTGATCTTGTGACCCAGACTCACAGTCTGTCTCCTCATCCACACCATCCCCACTTCTGAATCTTGGTTTCTAGTCCTTTTTTCTCTTAGATTTTCCTCTCTTTCCTTTTTTTTTTTAATTTTTGTGGTGAGGTTGCAAAGGGCTTCCTTTGGATACGGAGGGCTTGAAGAGTGTGTGGCCCTTTTGTAATCTTGTAATCCCATAGGGTCTATAGAACTACAATTTGATGAATCTTTTCAGGGTAGGAGGTGTGATAAGAGGTAGGAGAGTGGCTAGCTCCTCTCCTGGTTCTGAGCAACCACTGCTTCCTAAGAGCTGTACCCAGTTCCAGACTGGACGCTAGAAGGTCTCGGTGAGGTGGTGTGAAAATACAGTACCAAGGTTGTAAAATTTTTAGTTGCCAAATCCCCAAAGCTTTTGGCAAGTGGGCCCCCATTTCTCTTGCTTGGATGTCAGGTTCAAAGAGGGACAGCAGAGCCCTGGGAGTTTGCCCTGATGCTGTGGGGCTGGGGAAGTCACCATGCTCGCCTACATGACTTCAGCTGGTCCTCTTTTTTGTCTAGCTGGGTGCTCTAGCACTGAGTTCAGGATATCAGGAGCAGAAAGGAGTGCTTTCAGAGGTGGGTCAGCACCTCTGGGGGTTCTCTCTGTTTTCTGTACTCCTTATGCAGGCTCCAAGGGCAGAGTTTCTAGCTGAGCATCAGATCAGAAACAGCAGGTTAGGAGGAGACCTCAGTGAGGGGAAATGCATGGAAAGAGGGTTCTCTAGGCAGCTCTGGCCAGAAAGAGGAATTTAGCAGAATGGCATGTTGTGGGACACAGGCTAGAGCCCAGGACACTAGACTGGTAGTGTCAGCTGGAGCTCACCTACCCTCCTGCTCACAGACCCTGCTGAAACCCGTCCTTGCCAGCCCGGGTCAGCTCTGCCAGTATTTGTAACGTTGCTCATCCTCTAGGGACAATTTATTCAGGATAACGTGTTGCTGGGAGTCACAGCAAGAATGCAAGTTTTTGTTTTGCTTTGTTTTTGTCATGAGTGGGGAGAAGTGTGTGAAGTAGAAGGAAACGTTTATCTAAAAAATCCAAAGCCTATGGTTCCATAATGAGCACACTCAGAAGCCAATTAGGGTGATCATTGATTTCTTGAGTATTTAGTTTCTCTTGTGGGTCATTCTGACCTCTGCTTTCCCCTTTTTCTCTCTCTGAAAGCTTCTCTTTCTTATTTTACTGTTTATTAATAGTACCTTCGGGAAACTCAAGAAAGGAAGGTAGATTTGTAAAATTACAATTAGACAAATGTTTCCTTCATCTACATTAGAGGAATAAGTTAAAATCTCAATGCACAGAAACACAGAGAAAACCACACAGGAACTACACATACAGGTATGTAGACGCCCACACAGAGCCCGCATCAAAAGTACACACACACCACACACACACAGAAAAATACACAGGTGCATTCTCATGGAAGTACATACTGATACACACACAGGTACATGCAGAGAAGTGTGCACTTACAGATATCCACAGAACACACACAGACATACATAAAAGTATATACATACAGGTTCAGACAGAGAAGCATTTACAATCAGGTCCATATAGAAAAGTTAATATATACACAGGTACATATAGAAGTTTGCACACCCAGAAATGCATAAGGGTTGACATACAGAAGTGTATATTCACAGGCACCCCCCATCTCATTTAGCTGTGGACTTCATTTCTCCTATTAGCACAGATAATAGAGTTGGCTGTACCTGCTTCCCACCATGTAACAGCAACCTCTTATATCCCATCATGGTTTTTCAAAGAGTTTTCATATACATTATTTCATCTGCAGTAGAGGAAACATCACTATCCTCACTTTGAGAATTTGGAAACCCAGAGAGTTAGGTAATTGGCTCTAGGTCACACAGCTAGAAACTGGCAGGACCTGTATTAGAACTCAGGTCTTGTCTTCTTCAGAGCTGTTTTTTTACACTCCTGAAATGAGGACAGAAGGCAGAAAGCACAGTGACAAGATTTTGCATTAATTGCATTAATTTTTCTGCATTAACTTTAATGCAAAATATTGCAAATAATTCAACAGCAGCACATAACACAGAATTTTCATTTTTCATGACAGCATTGCAAGAACATTGCAATGGACTCTCCACCCTGTTGACAAACACCCCAGGCAATGAAAGAGAGCACCATAGTCTCTTACTTACCATTCAGAAGGCAGGTGTTGAGAAAAAGTAGCAGAGTGACAACAGTTGCAGATATCACATTTTCCTTCATGTTGGCTGCCTTCTCTTGCTACAGGAAATGTATCAGAGGTTCACTGGAAAAGAAGGTGTCAGGTAACTTTTGTGAAATGGCAGTCTGGTCAGGCACATCCACCACTTTGTTCTAGGTGTTTGCAACTGATTGTTGCTCCTTGCTTAATGAGAATGACAAAATAGGAGGAAAGGAACGTAGGAAAATATAACAGGGTCGGATGGTTTGGCACAGAAACATCAATTCACACACGCTGGGAAAAATTCTACCACCAGAGGTCCTCAGATGACAAGGTAGAGAGTTCAAGGGGAGTCAAGGCAGTCAGTTTCTTTGCACACACCCCAGAGAAAAATTGTTCTCTTTCCACCCCATAGCCACCTAACAATATATCATCCATCTTACGTAACACAGATTGTATGTCCTACAGGAGAATCCTTCTATGAGGGCTCTTGCTCTGGTCCATTAGCCAAAAATTGTCCAGGCCGAAAAATCAGTACCCTTAGTACAATCTCATCCTAACCATGCTGATTCCACCAAACTAGGGAGGCTTTGAAGGTTCAAACTGAGAAGATTCTGGAAGTCTTCTGGGTTACATGCATTACCGCAAAGCGAACCACACAATGAACTCTAGTGAATCTCCATGTGGTTTCTTTATCCTGTTTGGAAAGCCCCATAAACAAAAGATAATACATTCTGGTAATAATTTAAATCCCTTGGGTTCAGAGTATTAAGCAAATTTTGAACCTGCAGGGGTTGGAGTTTGGAGCAATTTATTATTAGAATTATTATTGTTACGCTTGGGACAACTTTCAAAGCCTCTAAATGTCCTTCTAAGAAAAAGGAATTTTTAAAGACATTTGGAAAAAAGGCTCATTAGTCTTGTTGAACTTCAAACAACTCAGAAAACAATAGATTTGGTGAACTAAGTGTAAATTCTTAGAAATGCACGACTTAAGTTTCTCTTTAAATTTTTATTGTTTCATTGGTTTTTTGTTGTTGTTTTCTTTTTTTTTTTTTTTTTTGAGATTTTGTTTTTTTTTTTTTTTGAGATGGAGTGTTGCTCTGTTGCCCAGGCTGGAGTGCAGTGGCACGGTCTCGGTCACTGCAAGCTCCACCTGCCAGGTTCATGCCATTCTCCTGCCTCAGCCTCCCGAGTAGCACCTGTTGTTGTTTTAATCAAGGGAAGAACATTCAGGATAAAAGCTTCGCATCGTGGAACATTTGAAATGTCTGAATGTGTTTGATGAGCCCCTAAAAGACCAGCCGTTGCTACTGCTCCTTGCGGGACATACTCAGAAGTGGAGAAACCATAGCAACAGTAGAGGTTTGGCCACCCAGGTACCATCAAGTAACTCTTTTATACTGAGGCTCCAGCTTCAATAAAGGATCCTGGTCCAGCAGTGGATCCTGTGAGGTGACCCGTATTTTGTTCTTTTGGGGACCTTCTACCTGCTCCTGCAAGATTCCTTCCAAACAAATGCCCTCTCAGGGTGCACTTTCTAAATCACCCGCTCCATCTCACCCCTGAGGGTCATTTAATGAAAATCAAGTGGTTAAAGGCTTCTGATGAGTTTAAACTAATGCCTACCACTTCTGGAGCATCTGTTATGGGCAGGCACTGGGGAAAGTTAAGTACCTTAATCATGGAAATCTCATTTTGTTATCACAACAGTCCTGTGAGGGGGTACAGGTTTTAACAGATGAGCAAATGGAAGTACAGAGATTTAGTAGATTGTCAGTCACATGCCCATTTGGAGAAAGACATCTGGGAAACCTGAGAGCCACTGAGAGATCATCCTGACTTTTGGAAAGTCTGTGATGGGGGTGCAATTATTCCCCCTCTGTGGGAGAGATGGTGGCGACAACAGTCACTGATCCAAGGTGAGCAACATCAAGCCTTGGGTGAGTGTGGCATTCTGAGTAGGGTCAGGAGAGCCAGACCCGAGAGAGCCCTTCTCAGCTACTACCCTACTTATGCCCAAGGACCTCAAATACTGTTGATCTCATGAATCCAGCCTCATCAGGTACATATAGCTCCAAATAGTTCTTTATCCTGTTGATCTGGTGATCTCAGCCTGGCTTAGAGATGAGATTCTACCCACTGGCTGAAGACTTCCTATAATATCCCTTTATTGAGACTTCCTTTCTCTTCTGGGCATTGCACTGACATGCTTAAGATCAACATGCTATAAATCAGACCTTCCTGGTGAGGTTGGGTGCTATCTAGAGAGCTTTGCCAAAGCACCGCTCCATGCATATTGCAAAAGAAACTCTGGGATGGCAAGCAGAGTGGGTCAGGCAGTGGTAGATATTAGATACTGTCATCTGCTTAAATGTTCTCATGTGCTACTACAGGATCAAAGAAACTCTCCTAAATAAAGGTTTCCTATAATAATGTGTTCAGGAAGTATTCTATGAATGAAAAAAACTTCCCTTTGGGATTTCCTAAGACACATCCTGGAATCTAGTTACTACTATGCACTTTCAAATGCCTGAAACCCCCATCACAGGGAATTAGACTACTCACAGTGGTGTCATGGTTGTGTTTCAACAACGATTTCCCAACTCATCCTGCATTTTCCTCCCAGGAAGGCAAACACAATGGGGGTAATTTAACCTTTAGGAAAGACAATCACAACTTCTCACCCCTAAAGGGGCTATGCTAAATGTTAATTAACTGTAATCACACAAGGAGATGCTTCTCAGCACTAAGCACATCTCCTGTTGATCCACTGCCATTTTTTTTTTTTTTTTTTTTATGGCTGGCAGACACTAAGCTGGAATAAATTAGGTTTTTGTCTCTCTGAGTCCACCCTGCATTGCACTCAAGATCTTGATCAAGGGCTGGCATGGCCCTTCTTATTCTCGCCCAATTGGGACTGGAACATCCAATGAGAGTCCTCATCTTTTTAAGATGTTATAGCAGCAAATGGCTCCAAATATTTGTAGTACAGTTAGCAAAAAGTCAGCCCCATACATCCTAGGGACTATCATCTTAAGCTTCACTCCTCAGCAGCTCCTTGGTTGTGACTGAGGGTTAAAAATGCAAGTGATGATGAGCATTTTTTCATGTGTCTGTTGGCTGTATGAATGTCTTCTTTTGAGAACTGTCTGTTCATATCCTTTGCCCACTTTTCAATGGGGTTGTTTGTTTTTTTCTTGTAAATTTGTTTGAGTTCTTTGTAGGTTCTGGATATTAGCCCTTTGTCAGATGAGTAGATTGCAAAAATTTTCTCCCATTCTATAGGTTGCCTGTTCACTCTGATGGTAGTTTCTTTTGCTGTGCAGAAGCTCTTTAGTTTAATTAGATCCCATTTGTCAATTTTGGCTTTTGTTGCTGTTGCTTTTGGTGTTTTAGACATGAAGTCCTTGCCCATGCCTATGTCCTGAATGGTATTACCTAGGTTTTCTTCTAGGGTTTTTATGGTATTAGGTCTAACATTTAAGTCTCTAATCCATCTTGAATTAATTTTCGTATAAGGAGTAAGGAAAGGATCCAGTTTCAGCTTTCTACTTATGGCTAGCCAATTTTCCCAGCACCATTTATTAAATAGGGAATCTTTCCCCATTTCTTGTTTTTCTGAGGTTTGTCAAAGATCAGATGGCTGTAGATGTGTGGTATTATTTCTGAGGACTCTGTTCTGTTCCATTGGTCTATATCTCTGTTTTGGAGAAATAGGAACACTTTTACACTGTTGGTGGGATTGTAAACTAGTTCAACCATTATGGAAAACAGTATGGCGATTCCTCAAGGATCTAGAACTAGAAGTGCCATATGACCCAGCCATCCCATTACTGGGTATATACCCAAAGGATTATAAATCATGCTGCTATAAAGACACATGCACACGTATGTTTACTGCGGCACTATTCACAATAGCAAAGACTTGGAATCAACCCAAATGTCCATCAATGACAGACTGGATTAAGAAAATGTGGCACATATACACCATGGAATACTATGCAGCCATAAAAAGGGATGAGTTTGTGTCCTTTGTAGGGACATGGATGCAGCTGGAAACCATCATTCTTAGCAAACTATCACAAGAACAGGAAACCAAACACCGCATGTTCTCACTCATAGGCTGCAACTGAACAATGAGATCACTTGGACTCAGGAAGGGGAACATCACACACCGGGGCCTATCACGGGGAGGGGGGAGGGGGGAGGGATTGCACTGGGAGTTATACCTGATGTAAATGACGAGTTGATGAGTGCTGATGAGTTGATGGGTGCAGCACGCCAACATGGCACAGGTATACATATGTAACAAACCTGCACGTTATCCACATGTACCCTAGAACTTAAAGTATAATTAAAAAAAAAAAAAAGCAAGTGGTGGATCTGAGGAGCAGGTTTTTAGTAAGTTTGCAGCCCCTACACCTTGCCCATGGCTAGCTGCCTTGGTTTCCGTGCTTCCCAATCCTCAAAGACTCTCTTATCCTTATGCTCCTCCCCTTAGCTTATTCAAATATGCCTTCCCACCACGCTGTGGCCCACTGTGGTATGAACAACAAGAAAAGTTCCTTCTCCCTCGTGTTGCTCGGCGTCAATGTTGATCCTGTTTAGACCTTCTCTTTCCAAAAGCCTCTCTTCATTCTCCCTTCCATTAAGCCAAGTGTCTTCCACAGAGGCCCACAGTTGAGAAAAAGGCCCAGCAGCTTGTGCTTTTGAGAAACTAGAGCCAGTCTCCCCACATGGAAAATCGGGGCCACACTCCCATGGCCTGGGCTGACCGTACTATCCACGTTAGGAGGGGAATGCCATAGGACAGGAGGAAATATGGCCTCATGAGAGTCAAAAATAAACCAGATCTGAGCTCCCAACATGCCACTCCCCACTGTCAACCCCTCATCCTCTGCAATACCCTCTCTTAGACTTCACCTTTATGTTCTGAACAATGCATTGCCCAAGTCAATCCTGACTGTGAGCAATCTTAGCCCTACCATTCTGTGGAACTTACTTCCAAGACTGGTATCCGGTGATCCCCCTGAGTACAGTCCTCAACCTGTCCTGCCATATCTGTTGCCATAACCTTCTACTCAGGTTTTTGACTCAGTTTT